ATGTCAATACTGAACCCCATTAAACAGATGATAGAAGGTCGTCACCACAGAGCAATCAGGAGTCTGAAGTCGCATGTCTCCCATCGGAGCAAAGTGTCAGTGACTTGACAGATGGACAAGGTTTGTAAACTTTTCAGTCTGTTGCAAGTTGTTTTTTGGGATTTCTCACAAAAAAATATTTATTATATATTAATATATATTTATTATTATTTCAGCTGCATCAGACTCTGAGTGGCAGACTCGATCGGATCTCTGCGACTTCCTCCTCCAGAGTTCAGATGACGAAGACACGGGTAGTTTGGAGTTATCAGAGCCTCAGCTGAACAAGGAAGCAGAAATTCTAGCTTACTTCAACCAGAACCAGAGCAGAATCAAAAAGCTGTCACCTCGACCCTCTTCAGTGTACAGTAACTCTTTATTTTCTAATAAAATGGAAAACAATCAGAACTTCTATTGATTTTATTTTGTAGTGTTGCCCTACTGTTCATAGTTAGAAGCAGCAGGTTTTATATGAGATAATGGATTCACACCCATTAATGTGTCCAAATTTGTTTTCTGTCTCCAGGGGTTTGCCAGATTCACCTGGGCCTCAACCAGTCCCATGTGATGACAGCAGGATAGAAAAGGCTATTGATTACTTTTGTGAATATTTCAGTTGGGATACATGGGTAGAAATTGCCAATTACACAAATAAACTTTCCAAGAATCAAAATCTGGTGACATGCAGAGAGGTTGCACGCTTCATTGGGATCCACATTGCAATGGGAACCTTAAAGGTGTGTGCTTTATTTCATTAAATTCACAGTGCAGTAGCTGTTGCATATTTCACCTCAAATAAGTTATGCTCTAATGGTTTGTTGTTTCTTTTTAGTTTCCCAGTGCGAGGCTCTACTGGGACGACCTAACAAAGTTGCCGTTGATAGCTGAAGCCATGCCGCTAAACCGATTCCTGGAGCTTTCTCGCATGTTGAAGCTCTGTTCTTCAAATGATACCAAAGGACCCAACACTGCTCAGGAGCTGGGTGGTACTCACCAAAGCAGTGAAAGTTTAGGTTCTGATCACAGTGGCGCTGGGTGCTCAGCTGATCCCATAAGTTTGCAAACGCCGGTTGATCCGCTGTGGAAGGTTCGTCCATTATTGTATCGTTTCAACGCAGGATGCCGTTCACTCAGACAGCAGGGGGATTATGCTGTGGACCAGTACACAGTAGCTCTGACTGGGAAAGTAAACGAAAGCAGTCCGTCTCTCCATTGCACCACGTTAATTGGGCTTAATGGCTTAATCACACATGTGGATCTTGAACTGGATCTTTCAGAGAAACAAGATTCAGTAGAAAAAATGATCCCTAAAGGGAGTACGGTGTTCCTCTGCAAACAGGAGCTCTCCACCCCCGCCATGCTGGAGCACCTTTTAGCTGCTGGGATCCACGGAGCTGGCAGGGTGGAAGGAGAGCGTGGACAGGTTGGTGACGAGTTTGTGAGCTCTGATGGGAAGTTGATGTTGCGCAGAACGCAGTGCGGCTTCTTACTTTCTACCGCAGGGAAGGGTCAGCGGGACATGGTCTCACTCATTGACGGCTTCGAAAAGGCTCAGATGAAGGCGCGTCTCAGCAGAGATTTGCTAAATCTTTATTCTTCTCCTCTCACCGTGTCTTCACCTTCCTGCTGGCCCCAAGCGGTGCTATGGCACCTCATTGACGCGGCGCTGGTGAACTCCTGGCTCCTGTACCGGCAGGACCACAGAGCAGCGTCTGCCCCGCTGACATTAATGGCCTTCAGACTGGAGGTGTCCAAAGCTTTGATTCTCTCCAGCGGCTCTGACACCCAGGATTCCATTCCCCCTCAGCCTCCCGGGGAGAACGCTCACCACGCAACTAGTGAAACTCCAAGTCCGGTCCTGCTCAATGAGAGTCCTCTTCCAGAAGCAGCAACACGGTATGACGGATCTGGCCATTGGCCCGAGCAGCTTTCAGAGGGAGAAGGAGGCAGGTGTCGCTTTGGGGGCTGCCAGAGAACATCGCGAGTGCTGTGCCTTAAGTGCTGCGTCTTTCTTTGTATCTCACGAAACCATAACTGCTTTTTAAATTTCCATAATCAAGAGAGTGTGGGAGAGGAGCACTAATACTGAGATGTCTCTGTCTTTTTAAATGGGCTGCTTTCTGAAATAGAAAGTACACTTGATGTTTGTAAAATCTGCTCCTCCATCCTTACATTTTTACAGCATACCTTGTACTGGCAGTGCCATGACTTAATTGGACTGTTGATGTTCCATTTAAATAACTGTCTTGTTAGAGCTCATAAATTTACTTGCCAATTGTAAATTGATAATTGCAATTGGATTGACATTTTAGAAAAATAAAATGAACCATAAACTGTGTTGCAAAAACAATTTCTATTGTATTTGTTGTATTTTTCACATGAACTACTTTTCATTCCATGATGAACTTATTTTCAATTCCATAAAGTGCAGTGTTATTTATTTCACGTTGAAAAAATAAAGTTTAATGGAGTGAGTGGCTGTGTCTTTATTTCGGGTTTCTAACATTTAAACAGCAAAATGTACAAAAGTTTAATGTAAAATGCTCTTAATTCACTGCAGTTACACATTCAAAGGCAGCAAGAAGCAAATATCCAAGCTTTGGGTTTTAAAAACGATACTTTATTCTCTAGCAGAGGCAATATGCCTCAACTAGTTGTAGCTATATGATCATCTCAGACATGTTGAGGAAAAACTGAATCAAAGTATTGGGATATTCGATTATATTTTATTTGGGCTTTGCTTAAAAAGAGGCTGGCTGCCTCTGACTCTACTTTCCATAAATATGCTTTGATCCAGCACTTTTTTATGTTCCTTTTGCAGTCAAAGATCAATGTGCAGTGAAATGCTTTACATGCTTTCATAAGTTGGTGATTGGGGTGTAGTGCTGTTCGCTGGGGGAGCTGTAAGACAGAAGAACAGGGAGCTTCTGGATAAACTTCTCGACTCTGGAAGTGTCGGTGAAAAATGTTGCCGGAGGATGGAACAGATCATCATCTGACAGGGCTTCTGACGGTATATAGAGATGTTGCTAAAAACACTGTTTTTCGGTGTATACTATTTAACATGGCTTCCAGTTATTTATTAACATTTTTTTTTTTACTTCGTGTTTAATTTGATCTGATTTATGCTATTTAGAATATAATAAAAAATATCTTTATTGTTCCACAATGGGGAAATTGATGTGTTAACAGCAGCAAAAGTTATAGTAGAGGTGGTCACACAACCTTTGAAAAGTGTACAAAAAATACAGATAGGAAAATAAAACAAATATAGTATTGTACTGTACAGTGGTTTTTTTCAGCTCCATTGAGCCATAGTCATCAGAAGGTACTGCACAAACACTTCTGCACATCCACCGTGCTGTAATGAATCCCCATAAAAAGGCTTTTAACTTTTTAAATAGAAATACTGAAATGATTTAGCGATGTGATTCAAACTAATGTGGATACAACCTTAAAAAAAAGTGCAATCATTTTATCGCTTACAACTAATGTGATAACTGTGAGTTTTGCACTTTCCAATGCTTAATTTGTTCTAGGCTGCATTTATTACCAGACGTGCTATCAGTTTTAAACATAAAGAAACCTTGTGTATACAAGTCGAAATTTCCTTTTGTAAAGCTTTCATGACATTTATATACCTTAAAGTGCAGCAGTAAAATAGAAAAATCTTAGAAGAAAAAGAAAAAAACTCAGATTTTGTATGTTTGTGAAAAAACATAATTGAAACTGTCCAACTAGCTGGTTTAAAATGTATGGAAGAGGATTAGGGTCACTGAAAAAATTTTTAAAAGATTAACTGGTTTGTAGAATCCTGACTTTAATCTCAGAATTCTGACTTTTTTCCCAGAATTCCGAGTTTTTTCTCAGAATTCTAACTTTTTTTCTCAGAATTCTAACTTTTTTTCTCAGAATTCTGACTGTAATATCAGAATTCTGAGAAAAAAAGTTAGAATTCTGAGAAAAAATTCAGAATTATGACTATAATCTCAGAATTCTGACTATAATCTTTGAATTCTGACTGAATTCTGATCACTTACAAACATTTTAGCATCAAGCCGTAGCCATGTCTGTTTTAGAGACTAAACCAGCTCTCTTGTTTTAATCACCTTCTGCTCTTCCATGAATGAAATGGCATCACCAGGGACCCATTGGGCACTTAAAAAGTCGCCTAATTCCACTGATTTTCCACCAATGTTTTACTGTTCTTTCCAAATAACTCATGTCTTTGTCAGTGTAGCTGAGTGCTCCCACATCTCTTCCTTCATTTTGCCCATCTACATTTAGATCCAAAATTCTGAGATTAAAATCAGAATTAAAATCAGACTTTTTTCCCCATATTAAACTGAAATATTTAAAAATCAGTTTACTTTTTTTTTCCTTCAGTGGCCCTATTCGTCTTCCGTAAAAATATGACAGGACAAGAAAGTTGCTCTTGTTTTACAATATACATAAAAAAGACACTTGTTGCCATTGTAAAAATTCAAAACAAGTCAACCCAACATTTTACTTTAAAGTTTAAATTATTTGTAAGCATCAGCAATCATCTAAACTATCTGAAAAATAAATGTAAGCAGTACTGTGTATTGATAGTTTTGCATATAAATTTTAAAAAAATCAAATAACCCTACTTTTTTATTTGTTTGGTCACGTGACTCAGATCAGCCATAGATAAGCATAACATAGAGACAAATTTGTGTAAATTTGCAGTTTTCCCAAAATCTAGGCAAAACATATTTCCTTGTGCATTTGTTCCATTTACAATTCAGTATAGTAGCTACACTAATATGTTTTAATAGAATATATATAGAAGGAATTTACTGCTGCTCTGCACAAAATATGTATTTGTTTTAAATCAGTGATGTGCGATCCAATTTGGTCTCTACAGGCATAGAAAAAACGGCCTAAAGCTATATAAACCGGAACTTTCCACTCATTTGTGTTTTGAGGATTTATTTATTAGTAATCAAACAGTGACCACATTGAAGGGTCTGGGCGGCGGCCATCTTGACTGTCCCCATCACCACCGACAAGCCTCAGCAGGAAGTGCGCGATCTATCTCCTGTAATTCTAGGGTCAACTCAAACTAGCCTGAAAGAGCGGCTCGAGGTAACGTCCTGTTGTTTTTAGCATAATTATCTTGTTCATATATTTGTATAACTTCGCTGTATTCTAATATTATGCTTCCAAATGGCGATTTGCGTGTAATCGGCGTGTAAACATAAGTAGAAACTCAGCGCTCGGATGGACGCGAAGTCTGCGGTTCTTTTTTTTGAATGGCAGAAGTAGCGTTAGCATTAACTAGCTGCCGTTAACCCGCTCAACTAGTCATACCACTTTGTTTCCATCATGAGCTTAAATCAGACAGCTCACGTTAAAGCGAAGTTAACCGATGAACGAGCTGAATCATTTTAATAGCTAGGATATAATAGGAAATATTTGAAAACATACGTTTCTATATATAACAGAACGGTACAGCTGCATGAAGCTAGCTAGCTAGCATAGCGCGTGGCCTTAGCCTTACGTTCAACGTCAGGTACAACTCACAGGCAGTCCGATTTTGATGCTAAATATTGGATTATAAGTGTTTTAGAATCTTTTTAGACTTATTATTTTGGGTTTTAATTGATTAATATAATCTCAATTTAATTATTTTGCCGTTTTTTTTATATTCAAAACTTATCTTACAGTTAATATCGTGATAATGTAAGTCAGCTTATTTATTTTTTTTAAAATATTTATTTCTTTTTATGTTATTTTAACCCAGAAAGGTTGTATCGCAGCAGTAGGATGGACTCAGACATTTTGAACATAGAGGAGATAGTGATGGGAAGGGGGTTGCCAGATCCGCCACCAGAAGCTCCCCCTCAAAAGCCAGCAGAGCCATACAAACCCAGCATTCAGAATGGACCTCCTGCTCCCTCCATCCAGCCCTGTAAGTAAAGAGGCGCAGTTTAATCTGAGTTTTTAAGCACAAACACAACCCTAATCTCGTCTCTGTTCTCTTTCAGACCAGCATGAGAACCTGCAGTGCTTCCAGTGCTTCATTACCTTCTGCAATGCCAAAGCAAAGGAGAGACACATGAAGAAGAGTCACAGGGAGGAGTACAAACAGCAGCTTCAGCAGGTACGTGTGATTGACCCCCAAATTCCACATCCTCTGTCACCGCTCCGCTTACGTACGTCATTCGGAGCACTTGTGAAGTCATGTTAATCGAGGAGAACTGTTCCACATCCACCGCTACTCCTCCACACATCACCGTCCATGTACCGCTTCTCCATCTTTCACCGTCAAAATATGGAGCCGAGCTACTTTTTTGCTCCGGTCCGGCCAGGTTAGGATCCGCTATTGTAATTGCACCTAACAGGAAAAAGACCGGCAAGAAGATCTGGTTTGTCAAATTAAAATATGGTAACAACAGATCAGTAACTGGAAATAAGAGCATAATTCTTATATATTCCCAAAACTAAGACCATTTATTTAAATTATTGGATGTAAACTATTGGTATTTCAGCATACTAGGGAGCAAATTATGCATCTCAATCAAAATATTTATTTTATACAGAGAGGCTTAAAAGTTTAATCAAATCCAGTCACAACAACTTTCAAGAGTACATCTTACAACTTCTTGTTGCAGGCATTGATGAGGAGATGCTGAATTTGGAAGTAGGGAACAAACTAATTTTGTATGATCCCAATTATCCCTATAACAAAGACTTACAATGAAAATAAATGTTTTTGGCAGAAACATTGATGGTGAGTTTTTAATTAGGTCACGTTGAATTAATCGTAATTTCTTTTGCTCCTACGAGTTTAATAATAATATTGCGCCTGCTCTCCTCAAACTCGGGGGAAGTCGGAGGAAGCAACCTGGCCAGAGACTGTTGTTGTAGAACGGACCGTTTTTTGTGATTGGTTGAGGTTACTCATTGATTTCTGACTGTAGCTGGGACCATTTATTTAGTTTCACTTCCAGACCTTCTATTTCACTGCTTGCTAAGCAGCTGTGGGGAGATCTTTAGGCCACATGGTAAAGAAATGCATCAGAAAATATCTCCTACTGCACCTTTAAGTGATTTTTCTATGTTTTTGTTGAAAAATAAAAAAAAAAAGTATAACATAACCGCTGTATAATTCATTATTGTTATGACATTGATTTTTTTTTTAATAACTAAAAGGAAAATGATGTATTTATCATAATTGCTTTTGAATGAGAAAGGCAGATGGTCTCATTGGTTTGTCATTTATTTGAAGCTCTTTTGAAATGTAAATTTGAGTTTATATTTGCCAGTGTTTGAAACTTTGAATTCTATTATACATTTTATTCAAGTTGAATCTTTTTTTCAATCTATTTAGGAACATATTTGTTTGTCTGTGGGGAATGAAAGGAAGTTAAGTTGTTTTGTATGTTTTCTCTACTCAGGGCAACACGCTGTTTACGTGCTACGTGTGTGACCGCACCTTTCATTCGTCTGAGGAACTAACGCAGCATCAGCCGACGCACAGCAATGATGACAAGCCTTTTAAATGTGCTTACTGCAAGGAGAGCTTCAAAACGTTCTCTGAGGTAAGAAACTTAATTTAAAATCACTCTCCTCAACTTGATAGTCGACAACATTTGAAAGGAGGTTCCTGTTTAAAAAAGTAAATTATCCCATATTATTATCCCCTGATTTTTTTTTTCCAAACTTACAAACATAAATGGGTTTCAATGGCATTTAATCCAATGGAGAAACACATCAATAATTTCATTAACTTTTTATGTTAATTCATTTTTTCTTTAATTTGGGGGACGATTTAGTTGATGATTAATTACAAGATCATGCTGCAGCCAAGATGGCAGAGAGGCGGCAGTAAATAGCAAGCCATATGGTAGATAGTGCAAATAAACTGAGGCTACTTTCTGTACGTTATGCTCATGGAACCTGATATATGGATTTAGCGGTAAGAAAGTGTTGTGAGGTCACATAGCTGCTGTCGGAGCTACAATGACTGTGTGAAACGTGTTCCGTCAGAGGAACTGAGATACCACTGGAATTCCAGTCCCGATGTCAATCTTACAGGAGGAGTCGGCTCAATAAACAGGAGATCCCTCACGCACTAGCTAAGAAGATGTCTGATTGGGATCAATATGAATGCTGGAGTAAAACTTAAAATGAAGAGAAAAGCAGCAGGAATGGTCCTAACAGTGGCTGGTGTTTCTCACTGTTTACCACTAGAGATTTTGCCCTGTGTTCTGTTTTCAAGTTCTGGATCGCCATGCAAAATCTCTTAGAATTACGTCCAGGCTTTTAGCTAGGAATATTTCATAGGGTGTAAACCTTGGTGTACCATGACTTCAGGCTTTGTGCAGTGACGCAAGTTTCATAGGGTGAAATGACAATTGTCCTTCCTGGTAGGGAACAATAGACACGGAGTGGCTAATTTGGATTATAATCCCTGCTGTTCTTGGAATTCTTAACTGTCAGAGTTGGAATTAAATTCTTTCAAACACACAAAAAAATGTATCCAGTACATATTGAAATAACAATAAGAAGGAAAATAAGAGTTCTACATTGATACCCTACTTTAAATGAATGCTGGAGATTCCCAGTAATTCCAGGTTGAAATCAGTGATTTCTAATTCAATGTTGTTCATCTTTAACAAAAGTTTATGCAAGTCACAACATTAATTGCCCGATTGCTCTTGAAGAAGCTGGAGATTGCTCTCTGTGGTTTTCCCTTTTTCCCCCTCTCTTAATTTTTCCCAAATTCACTAACTCCTTATCAATTATGTTAAAAAAAATTTTAATAAATCCTAGTCCACAAACATCTTTATTCACATGTTCACTTAAATTTCCTATTGTATGTTCACATTTATGGATTGCATCTAAAAAGTATCAAAGATATTTTCAATTCGAACTATAAATATGAAATAATACATTATAGCAAACAAAGGCTTAAATCATATTATAGGTCATCAAATCGGGGTCAGTTTAGTCTGTCAAAGGGGCTGCATGTAGGGATTTTAAATGTCCAGCAGGTGTCAGTATTACAGTGACACAGTAGCGATGCAATATCAATATAGTTTGCAAATGTGTTTAAATGCTTCATGACGCCTCATGAACAAAAAAAGCCTCCACAATAATCCTATATTTATCAGGCCTTCGATGAGTTTTCGTAAACTTTTCAAAGTTTCAAGCTTACCCGTTTGCAAACATAGCAACATGCTTGTTCTCATCAGTTATTTTTGAAAGTAGGCAGACAGGACGCAAGAGTAGAGAAAGTGGGAAGGTCACCAGGTCAGCGTTAAGTGCTGCAAAGCTTAGCCAACTCCCCGACGTGACATCACTTGTCCGTGTCCGTTTTAGATACGAAAAAAAATGTTCTCACAAACACGACCCAATGAGCCTAAATAGTTCATATACAATAATATTTTGATTCAGAAACTGATTTTTTTGCATATTTATCTAAACTCTGGTAAAACCGAAGCTGTAACCTGCAATCTTTAAAAGTTAGCTTGTTAGTTTATTGCAAAACATTTACAATTTCCCTGCCTTAAGCAGATCTGCTTAAAAAAAAAGAACAGCTGCAATGCACAAAATGTTAAATAATAATGAATAAATGATTATCCTTTGTTCAACAGAAGAATTCCTTCTATTTTGTTTAGATTTTCGCCTTCAGTGTTAATAACTTATTTTTAAACAACCCCAGCCTTCTCCAATAAAGTCAGGCTTAGGTCTGTGGGCAAAAACACTTCTAAACACACTGAAGCTTGTGGTTATGACGTGATAAAACATATAGAAATTACGCTCAGAATTAAAATGTTTCTAATTTGATCCTTTCTAGGTCACGACTCACAGAAGACAGATGTGTCGAGAGAAACTGCTGTTCTGTAAAGATTGTGGCCAAGGCTTTCGTAGTCCTGGACTCCTGCGTGCCCACCGCCTGACCCAGCATCCGCGCCCAGATGAGAGTGCAGAACATCCAGAGGATCCATCAAAACCACATCGCTGTAAGAAGTGCGGGCAGGGATTTGAAGCCGAGTCGGAGCTGCAGGCACACCAGGAAAAGTACCCCGAAGGCCAACAGTGCAACGGCAGTGCTTCCCCCATCAAGAAACGGGGCCGCCCCGCCAAAGCTGAAGACCCAGCGGGTTCTGAGAAAAAGGGAAAGCGGAAAAAGAAGGAAGAAGACGAAGTTTCAGAAGCAGCAATGAAGGCAGGCGGCACAGCCGAGGCTGCAACGGGAGAAGACAAAGGAAAAGCAGGCGGCGCGAAGCGTGGCCGTCCTTCTAAAGCAGCAGCGTCGGAAGCAGAAGATAAAAAAGGTTCAGAGGATGACGGTCAGGATGCAGCAAAGGAGAAGAAACCAAAAGAAGAACCGGTCCTTCAGATCCCCTGTACAGATTGTGACCTCACGTTCCCCGGCTTGAGTCAGCTCCGTGCGCACAAGAAGGAGAAACACACCCCACGGAAAGCCCATCCTTGTGAAGAATGTGAAGAGAGCTTTGCCCGTCCTGAACAGCTGGAAGCCCACATGTCGCGGGCTCACGCCGTCGGCCGTTTAGCCTGTCCCACCTGCGGGAAGAGCTTCAGCCGGATGCGCTCCTTGCAGGCTCACCAGAAAATCCACCTGGACGAGATGCCTGAAAAGTCAGGCGCCAATAGATAATTTAGGCGGGCTGTATCCTGTGGGAAATGTGGTTTTTCAGTCAATTAGTCCTGAATTTTTCCCTTTCTTTTAAATTTGGGCAACATCAGTTTCAAGATGATGTTTTAAATGAACTAGTAGCGGTTTGCAGCATCAGGTTTTAGTCGGTTATTATTTTTAGCTGAGTGTTCAGGAGCTGCTCAATTATGACACATCTCATAAGTTGACTAACCAGGTTTTAAGCATCTGTTGCCCTGTTTGTCATTAAAACAGTTCAGTTGTATTAAAAAAAAAAGTTTTATCCACTTTTTGAATTATTTTTATTTTAGTTTAAAGTGTGTTCTTTGAATTTATTTGGTATTTTCATTTGATTTACTCACTTTGTGAGAGTTTTGGTTTGTAATATTTCTTTTTTTTATTCTTGATGCCCTCCCCAACAGATATAAATACATACTTTAAATAATTAATTAGATGCCTTGTAGAGATAATGTCTGAACATCTGACAGATTGTTAAAAGTAATGTGTTATGTACAGTTTCCATTTTAATTTTGACTCTTCCGTTTCACCAGGAAGGAATGGTAGACAAACCCTCCAGATCTAATCCGGAAGGTTTGCAGGCAGAAAATATCCTTTGTAATCCAGATTTTTTCTTTTACTGAAAATTTCTACATTGTTTTTTTTTTACTTCTTAAGTAATATTTCTTGTCTTAAAAGTGCTAGATTCCCTTAAGAAACTGTGTATATCATGTTATTAACTTGGTGTCTCCTCACTGTGTCTGGACACTGCAGAAATATAATAAACAGGCTGTCCCAAAGGGAAGCCACCAATGAAACGCTTAGATTTGTGTCTTACTTTTTCTGTTCTAAAGTACGGCTGATTAAAAGAGAAAAAGAAAAAATCTTCAAATGAAGTGCAATTACTACATAGTTGGAGGCATCTCTATAGACGGCTGCTTCTATTGGGGTTTAAGTGGAGAAGTAGCTTCCAGATGCTAATGATGAAACTTAAACACCTTTGGAAGATTTGTAGTCTGGACAAAAAAAGTAAAACCAATTTTTTAAAAGATTTCTAATTGAACAAGAGCTTTGAGTTAATAAAAGCCTTTTTTTTTCCACACACACAAAAAAAACTTAAATTGCATCACATGGAAATGGCTTCTGCTGGTACTGAGTGATACAATATTGATGATGTGCATTTGGATTCTGATTTACAACTGAGTTCAAACTGAAGTCATTTTAGTGTTTCTTTTGATGATACGATCATGTTTAGCTGTTGCTAGTTCAAATATTAGATATTAAGCATATTTAAGCTTTAGATTAATGATTTTACTCTAATTAGAAGTGATTTTTGTAATAATAAAAAGCCCTATGGCATTATTTTCATATTAACTTCTGTAATAAATGCAATCAAAAGTGTTGCATGTATGAAAAGTAAAAAGTTTGATTTGATGGATTTAAAACCCATTATTATGGACAGTCAAACCTGGACTAGTTATTTCAGTCATTACAGATACAGAAATTTCTACAATAAGTGGTTAAAACAGGACTTTTAGTCCACTCACACATGTTAAAGTCCTATTTATCCATCTAGATTATCATCAGGTTAATCTTTTGTTTTTTTCTGGTGTAATTCGAGGATTTTGCCCGGATTGGTTTTATTAGCCCATTTCAGACCAACTGATCAAACTCTAACTAGTACGCACTTTTCTGGGTTAATGTTATCAAGTTTTTTTTTTCTTCATAATGTTCTTTTTTCTTTTAGTATATTAGATTTCTATTAAATTATTTAGATGAAAATGCAAAGGACTAACATTCCTTTGAATGACCTTAATCTCTATATTTGACAATAGATCAATCATCCACTGCTCAATGAGTAAAAAAACCTGGATCATACTTTGCTGTCATATCCACTGCCTCCTATGTAATAATTGAGTGTTTTTCTCCATTGTTGGATTCGTTTTCTTGTATTTGTGGATTATCTAAACAAAGCAATGTCAAAGATGCTGCAAACAATTTACATGTCAGTTTCCACTTGTTTATCTGTTGAATTGATTTTCTGACCCAAGTTGACTTGTATGCATCTTGATGCTTCTGATTGACAATTATAAAGAAGATGCCAGTCAAAGTATTTTTGAAATAATCTGGGTCCAAATATTCTGACACCATCATTCAGCCAGTTATGAGTTAGGGCATGATAATGAGAGCATGCATGCTGATATTATTTTAGCCAAGATAAGTGTTACTACTCATTAGTAATTAATAGTAAATTTGTAAAGATCTATATGGTTATTTATTCTCTGCTTATTAAATGTAACCATTTATAGTCATTTTATTTTATATGTCAGTAAATGTATTCAGTTTAACACTTCTAAATTACAGATTCATTTTGGTTATATTTTAATAATCTTTCCTTTTTTTCGGCATCTGCATTTTTCTGCCTCCAACTGTTAGTTGTGTTCTCAACTAATTATTGTACAGTTTTCTCCTTTTTTGAGTTTCAAGGGTGTCTTCTGGTGCTCTCATTAAGCAGATTAGTATTCTCACAGATTTTTTTTGCTGGAACAGCCTTTTCTAGCCATTCTTAACCTTTATGGGGTGTTTTATTGCAGGATTGGATCATTAAACAGTATTCCAAGCTTTCAAAACTGAGGCCATGACTAAGAAGAAACAAGACTAAGTACTGAAAAACAGGCTTAACTCTAAGATCAAAAGTGTTGATGGCAAAAGCCAAGCTGAGGCATCTTGAAGCTGTAATTGCCACAAAAGGCATTTTGTTGGCAATCTGTTTGAATCTTTCATTCCTGTGTTGGATTAGCATTTTTATACTTGTTTAGTGAAATAAAAATATGTTTGTTTTTCACAGAAAATGTTCCCACTGTTGGACGTAGACATGCAGGATTCTCTTCCATTCTTCTATCGCATAAAATCCCCAAAAGATATAATAGTATTTTTTTGGACCTAAATTTAAAGCCTGATTTTTTTTATTTTAACAGCTGCATTATTTCCAATGACTGTATATGATACCATGGGCGTAGGTTTGCATAGGGACCATAGGGACATGTCCCTACCAAAATTTTGGACCGACCTACTTGTCCCTACTAACAATTAGTTGTGAATAACATGTTTATAACTTACAATACAGTGTTGTTGCAGCAGTAGAGGACTTCTGGATGGAGAATATTGACAGACAAAAACATTTTTTTATCTAAAATGCAAAATGTATATATATGTATATTTTTTTTTACAACTTTGTTATAATTCCTGCTCTAGGTGGGTCACACTGTGAGCTTAAGACATGTTTTAGAGTCTCTATACTCCAGTTAACGATTAATCGATTACTAAATTTGTTGATATTATTTGATTAATTGATTAATCTGATTAATTGTTTCAGCCCTAAATAAAATACTTGAAGTGGGTTAAACAGAGTAACTACAGCCTAGATGTACAACTTGAAGAGTGAATGTTCTAAATGCTCAGTGTCAGTTCCAGAGCTCATGTAAATAAAATAAATTCATTCGGCATCCCTTAAATCTATTATTTTGCTTTGTTTAATGATACAAAGAGAACATTTAAAAGATAAGAGTGGTTTTTACCTTTGTTTATCTCTGCACAATTATATATAAATCCATCCATCCATCTTCTAACACGCTTAATCCCAAGTGGGGTCACGAGGGGTGCTAGTGCCTATCTCCAGCTGTCAATGGGCGAGAGGCGGGGTACACCCTGGACATCGTAGTTGCCATCGCAGGGCAACACAGAGACACACAACCATTCATGCACACACTCACACCTAAGGGAAATTCGGAGAAGCCATTTAACCTAACAGTCGTGTTTTTTGACTGTGGGAGGAAGCCGGAGCACCCAGAGAGAACCCACGCATGCTCAGGGAGAACATGCAAACTCCATGCAGAAAGACCCCAGGGATTGCAGCAGTGCTACCCACTGCGCCACTGAGCAACCCTAGTAGGTGATAGACAGTGTTATAATTTTACAATTGAAAGCTTTTTTTATATATATTTTTAAGAGTGGGATTATTTAAACTTTTTTTTAATTTAAGGTAGAGGTTATCATTATTGATGGTGGATATGAAGCTGGAGTACCCAGAGAGAACCCACAAACTCCATGCAAAAAGACCCTGGGCCCTGAATTGAACGCAGGACCTTCTTGCTGCAAGGCAGCAGTGTTACCCACTGCCCCACTAAGCAGCCCTATTTAGACTGTTTTTGGTTAAATAGGCACAGATTTACCTACTGTCTTAGTTGCTGGTAATTTCAAATGCAAACCTTTTCAAACTGGAAAATGGTCCTAATTCCACAATCATTAGAGCCAGTAATGCTTCAAACATTGATAAACAGCATCTAGTGTGTGTAGTGCTTATACAATTTGTATTAATGTAGCAAGAAATTTAAATTTAAATGAAATACACCCTGATTTTCACGTCAGGCATAAAAAACGAGCATGCAGAGCATATTTTTGCAAAGCACCAATGATATCAGACCAATAGTGTCCCTACCAAAGTTCAAATCAAACCTACGCCCTTGTACGAGACTATTACTGTGTTAAAATTCCTTTGAGGCATGACAGATCTCGGTTGCTTAAATTAACTGTAATACCACTCCATGCCACCAGGTGCACCAGAGGGCGCCCTGACAGCTTTCCTCTGTTTCTGCTTCGCTCGCCTTTGTTGTTCTGGTCGCGGTTTCTCATGGAGCCAGGTGAGAGCAGCCTGCAGCCTCATTAGTTGTGATCGCTTCGGTTTTATGTCGGTTCGCCTCATTGTTTTCTGCTTTTCCAGCCTCTACGGTTCGTGTGTGATTTGCGGTGGTTTACAGAGAGCGAGCATCGCGGGTAACGGTTGTCAACAAGCTGCCAGGTGAGCAGAAAGGTGTGTCAAACAGGAATTTCCGTCGAAAATAAAACCAGCATTATAACCAGTAAGCGCCCGAGGCGTCTACACCCAGATAAATCGCATTAAATGTGAGATTAGATACAAACTCGTGAGTTAAATTAAAAATAACCCGCCCTTTGTTTATAATGAATAATCAAATGTCTCTCTCCGCAGCTATGTCCACCGACTCCACGCGTGACACCCTGCTGGTAGAATCGGGATTTCTAGATGTTACCTCTGAGGAGAACTCCTCATCGGGACGAATCCGATCAGATAAGTCTCTGCTACGCTCGGCTGTTTCCATGGCAGCCGTGAAGCAGAGGGGGAGGCTCAGAAACGGAGCCAAAGCCGTTAACGGGACCGGCGACCCTCCACCAGGATCCACTGAATCCACGGGCACTGAGGTG